ACATTAGTCAGGCCTTTAGTTTGGGAATTAGTGCAAGTTTCTGAATGAGACATAAAGGATCAGTTCTGAATTTCACCTAATTTAAAATATTTATGTCTGTATCTACATACATCTGAGGAATTTTGGTTACAATTTTGATGCAAGTTCTCAAAGCACTGGCCAGATGACTGCGTGTTTGGAAATAACAGTTCGGCATAGATTCTTGGACTGAGAAAGACTTCCTGGCTGGAAGTCTTTCTTGTGCACCATCTTCCTTTACTTTACCAAAGGGAGAGGCCTTCTGGATCCAACTTTCTATTTAAAAAAAAAAAAAGTCAGTGGTTTTTGCATTTTACTACCTGACTCCTCCTTCAAGCGTAAGCCAGTGTAGTCCCTCCACCCCTCGGTGACAAAGCACAGGCAGCAGGAATCTGCTCTACAGTAACATTACTATTCCCTAACAGTACTTTGCAGCAGTGTGTAGGAGAGAAAAGGCTGGGTAATAAAATTTTTATGTGTTTTTGTAACTTTTGTTCTCTCTTTAATTATAAAGCACCTTTAGTGTGCTGGAACAAGGTTAATGACTCCATTATCATTGTTTCCGCATAATTTATCAATGATATCTCTGTCAATTAGAGTAGCATGACCTTGAATGCACCATGTGACTGTAGCTGCTTCTTCAATGCTGCCTAGGAATGAAGTCAGAGAGAGAACTGTGGAGGTAGGACATGACTATTTATAATGCAATCCTTAAGAGACTGTGAGTATTTCTCTTGTTTGAAAGTTTTGACAATTCAGCACTGAAAATTCACTTGTAGGTGAAATCAGGGAATGGCTGATTCAATTTACAGGAATTAACTTAGCTGTTTTGGAGTACAGAAAATAAAGGTGCTTTCATGATTTTTCATTATGTTGTGTTTGATTAAACACCCTCTCTTCGTAATAATTAAATACGTCATTGTTTATCACATTACCAGGCCAAATACTCCTTTTAAAAAGTCTGATAAAATATTGCTGTTTTATGTTAGCTGAACATCTTGAGTTAAAAAACCAAACATATAATGTAGGAGTTGCTGTATAGCATTAGGAGGAGTAAACTTCATGAAAAACTGATTTGTAGTTCCATGATGTGATCCAACATGAACTCTCCTAAGTGTGACACCTAATAAGTAAGGTTTTAATGCAGGAAATTATGACTGTAAGAACCATTATTATTATTTAACCTTAATTGTAAGAGTTCACAAAGAAGTATTCCTTGGAGACTATTTCCTGTTTGGTATTTTTTGTTAGTTTTTTGTTGTGTTTTTTGTTTGTTTGTTTTTTTGTTTGGTTGGTTGGTTGGTTTTTTTGGTGAGCCACTTATTGTGCTACTATTGGCAGAACCACAGAGATTCTCCTGAAACACACGGAGTGAAATCTTGGTCCAACTGAAGTCAATGGTAAAGCTGTCCTTGACATCAAATAAAGAAGGCAGGATTTCCTCTGCAAAGTCCCATGCCTTTTTAAATATATCCCTTCCAATGGGAGAATTTTATAGGACAATTAGATTAGTTGGGCGTATTGCAAATGTTCATTATGATCTTCTGCTCTCTCCGATGAAGAGAAGAACCTTACACTGCTGTTTCTTAAAGGAATACTTCTGAATTTCAAATGTGTTTGTTTTTACATGCTGAACCGTTTGGATTAAGTACTGTCGTCTTCCCACAGATGCGTAGTTGTAAAAGTAGCAATGTGTTAAGGACAGGCATCTTTATTTGGATAAGGAATCACATGGGGAAGAGTCATGTGGGGAGCAATGTCGTCTCCAGTTCCATTCTCTGTTCATCACTGCAGTCTCAGATCCACAGTATGTTTCTTCATTAATTCTCATCAGTGGGCGACACAGGTCCATGCTGTGCACAGACACCCTCCTTGAAGGGTTGCAGAAACAGCCCACTCAGTTGTACTGCATAAACCAGGATCTTTATTCTTTGTAGAGTTATAAACTTCCACAGATACCCTCAGCAGAATCCCAATGAACAGTCTGAAAACATGGATTTCAGAACTCAGGAGCATTGCAACAGGTTTTGCCCTAGAGCTGCTGCCTGATACATCTCCTTCTCAAGGAAAATGGTTTGGATGTACTATGTAACCAGGTGATCTGACAAACTAAACAATTTAATTTACTTTTAGAAGTATTTAATGATATGACCATATGAAATACAAATAACATTGATACTTTGTGTGGCCACTTTCTAATGTCTCAGATTTGACTCTAAATAATCAGACTTTAGGCTTCAACCCATAACACTTTAGCTCCTTATGCAAAAAGGCATTTAGTACACATAACGTAAGGAAGAACTTAAAACTAGTTTAATTTTCTCAGTCCAATCATTTACTTAATAGTAAGCATATGCTAAAGTGTTTTGCTGACTTGGGCATATTTTCAAGTGTCTTCTCAGTCAGGAGAAGATTTGGAGCCTCGTTAAGATGGATACAAGAGCAGCTAAGTTTGGGCAGACTGCAGGCCTGCATCCTCCACATCTTATTCCTGGTAGCTGCGACAGTGGTTTCCCAGTGAAGACTAAAAGGACAGGAGGGTACTGTCCCAGCACTCATTGATTTGTGAGTAAGGGATTTAGTAGCCTTGTAGTGTTTTTTCTTAATGGGTTCATCCGTAAGCTTTGCAATTAAAACCTCGCTTAATTTTTTTTCTTTAAAAGTCTGTGACAAGCCTTTTGACAGAGAAATACGGGAATGCTGTGATTTTCCACAGGTTTTGCCTGCACATGTAAATGCCATGTCAGTTAGTTAAAATGTTAGTATTTTGCTACAGACTTTTTCATACACATATTCCTATGTATAGTTATATTTTAAACGAATTTCTTTGGTTATTTAAAGTCATAAATAATTCTCTTCTATGTTCATTAAAACACTCTATGCATACAGATTGTGTTTTGATAGTTTTTTATCTCTGGGTGTCAATATATACTATCTTGCATGATGGGAAAGTTGGGTAAAATTATCTTCGTGAGAAGAACAGTATTTTGCAATTGAAGAAAGCTGCATGATTTGCCAGATTAAAAATATCGTAAGGGTTTTGCAAAAATCAAACCCAGAGAACTCTGAAAACCTGCATGGTTGTATCTCTGCTCTATAATGCATATATAGTATTTGAAGCTAAACTGTACTTCAGACCTGTTTCTTTTTCCTAATTTTTGCTCCTTATAATTTTCCTAGCTTTTGAAATTA